ATGAATGAAACATAAGGAAGTATGAGACAAGGGGGAGAAACCTCAAAGTCACACTTGGCATGATTGTGCTGCAACCAATCCATACCAAGAATGAGGTCAAAAGCTTGACTCGGCACCACCCGCAACGACTGCAACTCAAGCTCGAGATCGCCCACACGCACAACCAAATCTGCCTCATCTCGTGCACATGCATGTGTACGGCCGTTGCCATAAAGAATGAAAACTGGATCTGCCGCACGACGCAAGTGTAGACGACAACGTGTGGCAACAGGTCGAGCAATAGAAGATAAACTCGAACCTGTATTAACCAACACGGAGAGAAGAATAGGAGACCTCTTGTTATAAAAACGAGCTTGGAAAGTAAACACTGGATGAACCGGTGCCGAGTGAACCCCTTGATGATACTTCCGAAAGAAAGATGGAGGGGTCACTAACTTATTCGCGCAAGGTCCCTCCATTACTCGCGCGACTCCTCGTTTCCCGAATGCACCTCAGTATCCAAACCTTCCACCACAACAGCACCAACGGGACGTTGCTGACGCCAAGGTCTCCACCCAGGAAATGGAGGTCGCCAATCCGGAAAGCGCCGACAACGCCGATAAGTATGACCAACTTCATCACACGCCCAGCAACGAACGTCACGGCCACGACCACGTCCTCGCCCTTGTCCTTGGACTCGAGTAGCAGCAGCATCAACCTCCACGGGAACAGGACCATCACTCATAGGAAGTGGAGTTGAAGGACGTGTAGCAAGAAGTGGAAGAGGCGACGTCTCATAATGTTGTGCCAAGCGAAGAGCATCGTCAAGAGTGGCAGGAGCAAGTGCATGCACAAGTCCAACAAGATCTTGACGAAGTGCTGGCCACAGCATTCCTAGCTTGATCCGCTCCGACATATTTGGCTCCGCACGAAGCAAAAGACTTCGGAAACGAACGCCAAATTGCATCACTGACTCAGATGGCCCTTGGCGAAGACGATGCAATTGTTGGAAGGCATCATCACAATCGTCGGCATGTCCGAAGGCGCGTTTGAAGACGTCCGGAAGAACACTCCAATCGCCACGAGTAGCTGCACTCAATCCATTGTACCACTGCAATGCCGTCCCTTGGAGACATGTGGGGAACTCACGCAAACGTCGAGCATCATCCCAAGAATGATATGTGGCGATCACCGTGAAGTGATCGAACCAATGGTACACATCATCCCCAGGATTCCCACGAAAGAACTCCGGCCGAACGCGAGGATTGGCACCAAAAGCAGGAGGAGTTGTACCATATGCCGTAAATGCCACCATCAACTGAGTTTGGTTGTTCAATTGCAAGCGCATAACATCAAGCAATTGAACCAACTGCTGCTCTAGAGTCAAAGGAGGAGATTGCGGATCGGCCATGAAAATGAATGAAAAAAGAAAGAGCAAAAGAAGAGAAATGACAAAAAGCTGGAAAGAAATGGTAGATCTAGACAATGCAAAAAGCTAGATCTAAACCAAAATCCTGAAAGGAAAAAACAAATGAAAGGAAATGAAAAAAGCTAGATCTAGACAATGCAAAAGCTAGATCTAAACCGAAATCCCAAATCCAAGCACTCCCCAAGGACAATCAAAAGTGCCCCTCACATTGGTGGTGCCCCTCACTTCCACCAATGTGAGTGCATGGAATATGGAAAGGGAATATAGAAATATGCATATCAATTAGCCCAAAAACCCTAGTTTATATACAAAAGCGAGTGGTCCGGATTGAAATCAATCCGATGGCTACCAAAATCCACTACGCTAATATTAGTATACGGCATCATAGCCGTACACTTGGCCCTCACAACACAAATTTATAGATATTTAATTATTATTTAAAGTAATTTCTTATTTTAATTGCATTAACATTGGCAATATATACCAAAGCTTTCGTTTGAAATAAATACATGTAGATACAGAATGATTATTCAGTGAATGAACAGGCTATAAAGTTTTACACCCTCTGTTCTTTTCCCACTCTTTGGTTGGATGATAATTTAACGAGCGGAGTTCTCCTTCGGCCCTTGCAAGCTTCGTTCTATTGCTGTTCTGTACAGTGAAAAGCTCGAGGAATGTCAAAAGCCAGTCTCTACACATGAAAACTTACAAGATTCCTTTGCAGCCTCTGCATTTGTTCCCTGCAAACTTTAACCTCCATTTCGAGATTGTGCCTGTGACTGTCTGGATCCACCAATTGCTGCTGCTGTATCACTTGCTGGTGTCGAGTTCTTACCGCTTGCGGTTGCCAGATTTGAAGAGCAGTCGAGGCTTGCCTGCACTGACATAAGTGGTCTTTCTTTCTCAATCCAAAGCCATTACCTTGCATTGTCTGCTCTGATTAGTTCTCTACTTGCTAATGCCACTCTCCTCTTCTCAAGCACAAAATCTCGTGCCAAAGTCTTGGACTCCCTCTGGAGCAGCAAGATCTGGCTCTGGATCCTCAGCATACGCCGGTTATAATCGTTCTGTCTGGAGAGTTTGATCCTTCCATACCTGGAGAAGGAAAAATGAAAATTTTCTCAAGAACTAGGCTAGGAGAACCTCACCTTGTTGCAAATCGCCTCTTCCACGCCACCGCTGTCTCTCCTTCTGTCATGCTACTGCTGCTGCCCAGCTCCTGGTCCCAAAGCAGCCTCCAAATGCAATCCAATTCACTCACGCGTCGCAACGCCCGGCACGCCATCGAGATCAAACACACATCCCTGTAATCCAACCGCGATCGCTCCACGGCGCCAAGGATCACTCGCTGCCACAGCTCGTCTGGAAGATCCATAATCGAAGAGCCCTAACATTTCGAAGGGTTAAAAAAGTGCCAAGGGGAAAAGGATCTTTTAGGGTTTAAAGAAAATTAACGCGGAATTTTTAGGGTTTTGGGAAATGGCGATAGATGGAGGGTGGTGGAGCGGCTGATTTGCGTGTAGCGATTATTTTGTGCGGAATTCAAGGAAGAGTGGCTGACGTCCAATCCACCTACAGGGCGGGCAAAGAAGGATCTTGAGGAGGAGTTGGAAATTGCTGGCAATCTCAAGATATTTCTCAGGTTTGCTGTCCAGCCTGGGGAGGGCACTTACCGCTTTCGAACCAACACAGTCGGGCAGCCGGACCTGTTTGTCAAGGGCGCAACAGATCGGCCTCTCATCGTTGGGATTGTCGACTTCCATCATGCTGTAGAAGAAGCTGTAATGTCTGTCTTGTGGTTTCCTTGTTCATGAACTCATCCAAAGTGTTACAGGAGGCTTTTCACGTACATGATGATCACCGGTGCTTGTTTTGGTGTGGTCGTGGATGCTGGATCCATCCAGTATGCCAAGATGAGTCAAGGAGACACGCTCCAACTTTACCTGTTCGCTCCGGTTACTGCATGGTCGGCACTCGGTTTTCTGCTTCAGCTCGCAAGAGACGAACCTGAACCTCCACAGCAGTCGATTGGTGATTACTCGCTAAGCTTATCCAAGCTCACACCCAGGGATTCTCGTGTGGTGGAAAGCTTCAAGTCCATAGCCAAACAGCACAGGTCATATCATTCAATCGTTCAAGACATGGAGAATCTCAGCTTTGAAAACTTGGAGGATGTCTCTTGCAAGTGGCTGAGAGACGCTAAGTCATCCGTCGTCTCCGCCAAGTACAAGCAGCAGCAGGTGCGGGACTTGACTACTCCCTGGCTTCTGGACGTGGAGACGTACCTCCGGAAGGTCATCACCGAGGTGGACGCGAACAAGACGCTCCACACACTGCAGGGCGTGCAGATACCACGCCTAGTCTCGTGGGGCTTCTTGTGTGGGACAATGTTCGCCTACGTGATGACCAGCGACGAAGGTTGGCCTCTGAGTAGCTACTTGACGTTTAGCGTGCGAGACATACAAGCAGCACTTGCTCCTGCCTATGAGGCTCTTGCCAGGATTCACGCCAGGGGTCTCATCCACGGGGACTTGACTCCTCCTCAGAAGAGGAAGCAGCAGCAGCCGGTTAAGGTCATTGGCTTCTCCTCTGCTTCCTACGTCAGCCCCAAGGAGATCCATGTTGCTGCAGGGAGGGAGATGGCTAAGTTTCATCAATGTTTTGAGGAGGTCTTCGAGTTCGTTCGGGTGGAGGAGGGCATGGCAGTGGATCGCTTCCTCCTTGCTTTGCAGAAAAGCTCGTCGATTGTCCACAAGTTCCCCAAGATTCGAGATCTTCTCAACGCGTACGTGTATGTTCCAATCGTAGGTACATGTGTGCTTGGTCAACCTGCAAGGAGATGACGACGAGTCGTTATCCAAGACGGGGCATCTGAAGCGTCTGCTTTGTAAGCTCACGTCTCTCCTGCCGTGTTCATTCTTTTTGATCCGTGTTTTCAGGTTGTCTCACGACTTCAAAGAGTACACATGCTGCTCGATGCGTTGACGGCTCTGGTCGACAACCCGAAACTCCTTGAAGAGGAGCTTCGCTTCGATGGGCTCATGAGGTTCCTGGCAGATGAAGAAAAGAAACATAAAGGCGCCAGCCTACCCGCCCTTGCATAATACATGAGCCATTCTAGCAAAATCGCATATCAATCAAGTTCCTCACTGTCCTAACAGATGTTTTTTTATTCTTCACCATTTGTTGTTTGCAATGGCCACCGCTTGCTGCTACCACGCCCACCTGCGGCTCCACTGCGCGGTGTGCTTGTGGGAATCCATGCCCATGGATCTTGATTGATCGACAAATCCTTGGATCACGGATGTGCAGCAATTGGTGCTGCTGCACGAAGGTAAGCTTATGTTTTCCTATCGATTAAATGCTGGTTTGCCAACTCCTTTGATCCTGTGCTAGTGGCCACGACGGAGTTTTCTGCGAATGCGATGGGAACTGCAAGTGTGAGACATGCACCTGTGGCCTCAGGCGAGCCCTTCTGCAAGTGCGGCCGGACGTGCAGCTGCGAGACTTTGCTTTTGCCCCAAGCCAGTGCAAGGTTGATGGACTCAACAGGGATTTTTTTTGCAATTTTTTGCCGAACAATATTTTGCAAGTTTTGCTTTGAGAAATAAATCCCTGACCATAGTTTTATAATTTCAATGCTTTAGATCCTCGATCTTTTGATGAAGAACTGGAACAACGCTCGCTTGTTGTCATCCAGCTTTCTATACTTCTAAAATCTCTTCCAACGAGGAGATCTTCCATTACCATCATCACGTCCGAAAATCAAAACTCTGTCCGAAAAAGAGAGACATTTTCTCTTCTCTATGGCCTGTGACTATTGGCAAAGAAACGGCAAAGAAGCTGGTCCAGAGTGCTCACCAAGAGGAAGCCATGTTTTCTTGTGAGGCTAAGCGTTTTTTAAAAATCACTCCATAGTAACATTGTGTGTACTTTTATCCTTAACATTTGGAACCAAGTTTTTTTCATTCCAGCAATCCATAAACCAACACTTTTGATTCCTCCTCCCAAGGTATTTCCACTTCTATTGTCCGTTGCCTATGTGGCCGGCCACTGGGCAGTCTATCTGGACGTTGTTTCGGGCCTGGATATGGAATTGACTCTTCCCATCCCTCCATTCCTGGAACTATCCACAACTCATTTTCCTGTCGACTATCCAAGTATTGGAAGATTTCAGGCTCCATGCCTGGAAATAGCAATTTGTTAACATCTTCCCAAATGTAAGGATGCTCCTTTGGGTGTTGATCAACTCTGTAGATACTAAATCTCACCTCCTCCACCTTGTCAAACACGCCTGCCAGCCACAAAATCCTCAAAGAGCACAACATTTGCAAGGTGTCTTCATCCATGCCAGTCTCCCAACGCTGGATTTCAAAGTTGTAGCCCCTCCAGTTCGTCTCCATGGTGATGGCAAGGGCGCGTTCGTTTTTGTGGTAGTGTATCCGTCCCCACAGTGCCACAAACTTTTCAACTATCAAATCTTGAGCTTCAGCCGGGAGGCTTGAGAGATGCTCAATAAACGTTTTTTCGCTGTCCATTGAAATTAATAAAACCTAAACCTTATGAGCATTTAAATAGCGTAAAGGCTTAGCAAAAGGTGACATAACTAATATCCCTTTTTACATTGTTAAGTAAGTAATAATATACAGGAGGGTGCGATGGAAGAAGACATCGATCCCAATTTCAAAATTTGTTGCTCGGAGCCATAACGCTTCAGGAACTTCCCTCCACTGTGCAACCTCAGCATCATTGGAAAGCACCTTGGACTTAGGAAGAGGTGACACGTACAAGTTTATGCCAAAGTAGTCACTTCAGAGCCAAGTTAAAACCTCCTGAGCTTGGGCTCCAGAAGGAACCAGACGTGGCGCGGAACGATCTGGTTGAGGATCATGATGGAGCCCACGAGAGATCCGGATGCGATACCATCGCCATCTTGCTCGGCTGCTGCTGCGAGAATGAGAGTAACACTGCGTCGCTCTTATTCTGGTGTTGGCGTGAAGATGAAGCCACAACGAAGCTAGCTCCCGCGTATTTTCTAGTAGAGAAAATCTCGTGACTGCCAAGCTCACGACGCTCAAAGAACTGTGTCATCCAAGGGGTGGGAGATGGAGCTCTCGATCCCCGAGTACGTCCGCAACAACACCCAAACACGATCCACTGGCAAGCCGAATCGCAACCTCACCAGGGGCGAGCCATTAGAGGACAAGTGCAAAGGCGTCACATTCTCCTGGATCTTCAACGTCACGGAGCCCTCCAGCAGTGGACGCTTCAGCTATTTCGATCGAAGCGGAGGAACACACCGAGAGTACGTTGTCCAACCAAGTTCACAGGAGGCACAAGTATATACTCTTGCCGGAGTACATGAGGGAAGTCATCAAGCTCGGCGAGAGTTTGAAGCGACAGAACCAAGACCGGCAGCTCTACGGGGTTATATGGACGCCACGAGCCTGGCGCTGGATCCCGAGCTCAAAAACAAGATCATCTAGGACCTGAAGTCGTTCATGGCTAGCAAGAAGTTCTTTAGCAGAGTAGGGAGAGCTTGGAAGCGCAGGTATATCTTGTATGGGCCTCCGGGGACGGGGAAGTCGTCACTCATCGCGGCCATAGCGAACTACACGCAGTACGATGTCTACGATATGAAGCTGACTGAGGTAAAGAGCAATGCCGACTTGAGGAAGCTGTTCATGGGGATTTCCAACAAGGCGATCATCGTGACCGAGGACATCGACTGCTCTCTGGAGCTCAAGAAGAGGGGGAAGCCAGCGCCACCATAGGAAGAAACCAAGAAGAAAGATAGAGAGCCCAAGAAAAAAGTTAAGAAAAGAGCAGCAGGGTCACACTGTCGGGGTTACTAAATTCCATCGATGGGCTGTGGTCTTGTAGCGGGAGCGAGAGGATCATCATCTTCACGACGAACCACAAAGAGGATTTGGATCCCGCACTGCTGAGGTCGGGCAGGATGGACCTCCACATTTTCATGGATTCGAGGCGTTCAAGGTGCTTGCATGTAAGGTCTCGCAGTTTGAGGAAAAGTTTGGAGAGATCGAAGAGCTGATCGTCAAGGTTGATATCACTCCTGCTGACATCACCGAGGTGTTGATCCAGCGCAGGGGGGACTCTCTAAAGAAAGTGATTGAGGCACTGTAGGATCGAAAGGAGCAGGCTGCAAAGAAAGAGCTGCGACACAAAAGTCGCAAGCTCGCTTGTTGGAGCGCAGACCATTTTTGAGCTCGTGTCAATGAAAGTCAACCCTAACATTTCAAAGCGTTAAAAGTGCCAAAGGGGAAAAAGATTTTAGGGTTTAAAGACACCACCATGGCTGTGGAGGACTACGCTGCTAGTCTCGACTCGATCCAGGCAGCTAGGAATCGCATCCAGGGCCAAATCCGCGTGACTCAGGTGATTACGTCGTCGTCGCTCGATGCGCTCGCCGGAAGGAGCTTGTTCTTCAAATGCGAGCTATTCCAACGCGGGTAAAATCCTTTCTTTCGTTTTTCCAGTGTAGAGTTCTCCTCTTCGTTCTTCCTCCAGTGGCGCATTTAAGATCAGAGGCGCCTCCAATGCGATCTTCTCTCTCTCGGACGAGCAAGCCGAGAGAGGAGTCGTGACGCACAGCAGGTAAGAAGATCGAGCTTCCATTCCTTGTCGATGTTCTTTTAGTTTTTGTTCTTGAGTGTTTCTAGATCGTTGCAGTGGCAACCACGCGGCGGCGGTTGCTCTGGCGGCCAAGCTACGAGGAATTCCAGCGCACATCGTCGTGCCTCGAAATGCTCCAAAGTGTAAAGTCGAGAATGTGGAGCGCTATGGAGGGAAGATCTCGTGGTGCGATCCAAGCGTTGAGTCGAGAGAGGCCGTGTGTGCCTCCGTGAAGAGCAAAACCAATGCGGTTCTCGTCCATCCTTTCAACGATCCACAAGTTATCAGGTGTGAGTTTGACAATCTTCTTTCTCGCTGATGTTCTTGGAGTTTTCTTTTCCAGTGGTCAAGGCACTGTTGCTCTCGAGTTTCTTGAGCAAGTTCCGCAGCTCGATGTGATCATCGCTCCGATAAGTGGTAATGAACCTTGTTTTTTCTTCTTTGAGCCAGCTTAAATGTTCCATCTTTCGTTTGAAGGTGGTGGCTTGATATCTGGTATTTCCATCGCTGCAAAAGCGATCAAGCCCGAGATTAAAATTATCGCCGCCGAGCCAACCGGTGCTGATGATGCCGCGCGTTCCAAAGCAGCCAATTCAGTGCAGACGAACAAACAGACTTGCACCATAGCAGATGGACTGCGAGCATCGCTTGGATCTCTCACTTGGTATTTCAGTTACGTGATATCTTTCCAGGTCTAAAAATGCTTCCTTTAGGCCCATCGTTCGTGATTTTGTGGATGAAGTCGTGACCGTCGACGACTCCGCAATCCTCGAAGCAATGAAGATGTGCTACGAGAGGCTCAAAGTTGTAGTGGAGCCGAGCGGAGCCATCGGTCTAGCGGTGGCTTTGTCTGATAAGTTTCGCTCGAATCCGGCTGTCAAGCATTGCACCAACGTTGGGATCGTTCTTTCCGGTGGAAACTGTGATCTCACAGGACTTTGGGAGTCCCTTCCCAACTAGACCAAGTTCTCTATTCCAATGTAAGGCTTTTCAATGTTTTGTTTTCATTCCTGACGTGTTCCTCTTTCTCTTCCACTTTAAGTATGGCGTGGAATCTTGGGCAAGGCAGAGTACAAGTCACGTATGACAACTTCGATGAATTGGTAAGCACTCAGTGGTGTTTCCTGTCTGAAACTCTTTTGCCACCTAACTTAGCTTTCGTGCTGTGACTTCAGAATTTCCATCATGTCATCCACGACCTTGCGTATTTGCTCGCGCGAGTGCAGCGGAGCAGGATAAACAACATTGCAGTGAAGGCAGCCGTCCCGGATGGAATCAAACAGTGCAAGCGAGGGTCCAACTCCGTGCACGGAAGCACAGCCGACGTAGTCCTCCAGACCAAGCGTGTGTTTCGTCTCCTCCTCCGACTCGTCAGCTATGACATCCTGGAAGACAACCATGAGAGACGTCCTCAAGGTCCCGGAAGGCGTGAGGTTCGGGTGCTGCAAGGCCTGGAACATGAGATAGTTGATATCTCCCATGTCGGTGAAGTGCTTGCGGTTCTTTATGGCGTTGGAAAAAGAGTCGGAGCATCGCCTAGACAGGTCCCAGAAGCCCGTGTCTTGGTTCACGTGATGCGTGTTCAAGATGGCCGAATGGTAGAATCCTGGATGGATGGAGCAAAGCAGGCTTTTAGAAAGGAAAACGAAGTCACGGGAACAGGAAGTTTTGGTTTGACAACGTACCAGCAGTGGATCGTGAGAGCGAGTCAATGTGGTTGCGGCAGTCGACGAGGCCGATGATCGCAAAGTGCTCGGATCTATTGCCGAGCTGCTTGTAGATTGTGGTGGCCCTGAGCCCAGCAGCGACGAGAGCTCCAAACAGGTTGGTTTTCTCGAGAACACAGCGCTACAAGCACAGAAAAACGACCCAGGAGTGAGAACAAGATGGAAAGAAGAAAGAGGCTGGGAAGAAATTATTGCCAGGACAAACGAGCTTGGAAGAAATGATAGAGCCAAAAAAAGCTTCGCAACTCAAGAGAAGAACACCCGAGCAAGCAACCAAAACTATGAAAAAAGTCAGGAGTGAAAACAAGATCGAAAAGGAAAGAAGCTCGGAAGTAACTATTGCCAGGAAGAAAACATCAACATCGTGGAGACGCGAATTATCTGAGACAAGTTTCGCAGAGGCAGCAAGAAGATCGTAGCTTCGAAGTCAAGGAAGGAATGATAGAACATGAAAGCATGGATTCAACTTCGCAACTCCAAGAGAACACCCAAGCAAAAAATACTATGAAAACAAAGAAGATCACAGCTGGGAAGAACTCGAAAAGGATGGAAGAAGATCATACCTTTGTGAGGCTCTTGGTGTGCTCCAAGCTGAGAGAAGCTCGGACGAGCTCCGTCCTCCTGGGCGCTTCAACGTTGTCAAAAGGAAGCAGTGCATGGCGCAGTGATCCCAGCGAGTAGCCCAGCAAATCCACGCCGTGAGCCCAAAAGGGCTTGTTCGCCTGGCCCCTGGGAATCGCGTCCTCGATCGAGACAAGCTCCTCCACTCCATCGCCATCTTTTCCTTCTTGCTCGTCATCACCCCTCAGGCGATGGAGGAATTCGGACATGATCACCGCGGCCGCGGCTCTATCGCACGCCGCGGTGTGGACTCTGATGACAAAGAGAGATTTCTCGCCCAGGCGGTGGAGGCGAGCGAAGAACACCGGCACTGGCGCGTCGCGATCCGTCCAGGGATTGGAATTCATCTCGGATTCGATCGTCTGGAGCAGCCAATCTTCGCGATCGTCGTCGCCATGCGCTAGCTCCTGGATCGCTACAGTGGCATTGGCATTCACCTGGAAGGCGGGCTTGTCGGGCTCGATCCACACCAGCTGCGAGAGGAGGCGCGGATGCCTGGCCAGGACGGCGTCGAGCGCGCATTGGAAGACGCCCACATTCACGGATCGGCAGAACAAGAGGCCGAGGACTGTGATTCCAGTGCCGCTCTCCACCGCGCGGCACCAATTGTGCTCCGTGGCGCCCAGGATTCGATTGAAAGGACCTTCCTCCAGCCGAGGCGGTCGTGAGGAGCTCTCATCGTCCGCCATAGCTAAAGTCGGGAAGAGTAAACCTAAGATTATAAAGTAGAACGTGTGGTTTGCCTAAATGTTAGCTTCTTACCTTTAACATATAATAGTAAAGAAATTTGTACCAATTTAGGGCTTGTACTATCCAAACCCCAAAAACAATGGAAGGCTCAACTAGAGCAAGAAGACTAAAATATATTCCTTTTGATTTGGGTGCATAAAATTTTCACTACAAGACAAAGGGTTTTGATTTGATTTTGAGATATTTGTTTGAGAAGGAGGCGACATGGAGGGTTAAAGTGGAAAAAGTGTTTTTGGAATCCTTAAGCTAGTGGTGTGAGTGCATAAGCTTGGATTTTGATAAGGATTGGAGAGATTTTAGTGGCTCATGGTTGGTTGTGGAAACACTTGAAAGAGCTCTACAAGATGCTATTGTGATCCTAGCACAAAGAAAATGTTATTTTAATTATGTAAGTCATGTTAAGTGTTATGCTAAAATGCTGTATATATTACCAGTATAATTTGGAAATTTTTAGCTGAATATTATCAGCTATAATCTTACATTTATTGTTTAATCAAAGATAATGTTAAAAAAAACATGCAATATCAAGATTATCTTTGTGGATATTATTAAGACCACCCATACTATAGTCTCATTTCCTAAAGACTAGGTTATCCATCAATCAGGCCTTCAAACCCTAACTCAGTGGCAGTGTTTGTGAGCACAACCATGGATAGAAAGGGACTTAATAGGGATCAAAGAAAAGTGTTCCCCATGTCTCCAAACATTTTAAGGATGCTAAGGTGTGGTCATGGGATGAACACTCATGGCATTACGTCCCATTGATATTTGGGACTTTCTTGACACGTGACTATAACTTTGGTCATTACACAAGAGGATTGCTCTTTTTCTTTTCTATAGTCTAAGACTTTAGAATAACATTTCAAAACACCATAGCCTAACCTAAGCTTTGTGGGTATTCTCCTCACCTTCTACCTCTAGGTGCCTAACCATGTGGCTAAAGCAAGGTGTAAGCAACCAAAGGGAACGACTCGAGAGACGATCTGTTGGGGTTCAAATATAGAGGGAAAGGGCCCATGAACAAGAGTGCACCCCCTTTTCCAAATGGTTAAGGGTCTTGGGATACTTGGGGTTAAGCGTCCTTGGGTTTGAATAGTACTGGGCTGGGTGACCTCCCGGGAAGTCCAAATTCAGGAGCTTACACAAGGTTCCAATAAGCTATGCTAGATATCTAAGTAGGTAGTGTAACCCATATTTAGATTGGGAGCATCAACTATTTGATCTCCTGAAGGAGTTAGAGTTGGCTCTTGAACACTTTACTAGATTACCCCACATTTTGTCCATATTTACTCTAGCCTTAAACTCCTTAGTAGTTATATCATCAATGTCGCGAATGTGACTTCAGATATCGAAAGTTACTTGTCGACTAGTCCTTACGGACACTGTTACCTTACTGCCACGATGGTAGGAGCTCGGTATTGCTGGGCCCGTTATCAGTCTCCATCTAAGCTAGTTGAGAAACTGGTCTTCGCGTGTGCACTTGACCAGATGGGCATAAGGACGGAATTCCTACGTGCTATTTGTCAAGCATACTTGACCTGGTTAGAGAAACTCATTCGTTGACTTGCACTTGCTAGTGTTGGGAACCCCCGCGATATTGAGATTGGTCCCTCAATATCACTAGATGATAGCTTACCGTGTTTGCCAAACACCCTCGCTATCATGCCCTTTGTGTTGGTCTCATTTCGGTCCTAAATGCTATTTATGGAAATTTATGGAAAGTGTCCAGATTTGCTCATTTGGCATATCTACAGAATGTAGAGATCGTCCTGAACACAATGGTGTTCGTCCCATGTTCAAATTCGCAATCTAAGGACATTCCATATTTAGTAAGTTTCGAACTTGTCCCAAAGACTAACTCTTGATACTAAGGGAGGCTTGGGGTGAAAGCCCAAAGCGTGTGTTCCTCAAGGAGGGGGCGAGGGGGGGCTATGGGGGGTTCCAAATGTATAGTAAGGATAGTGGGTAGGTCAGGCATGGCCGACCAACTTAAGGCATAGTCTAGCTCCCGCTTGCATGCCTGTCCTTGTTCTGCGTCCGGTTTGGGTCTAAGTGTGAGACACAAAATCCCTAGGCCCCAAAGTGGAGCCGGAAGGGCGCCACATGGTAGTGGCCGAAGCGAGAGCCAAACGAGCGTAACACGTTTGGACCCAAAGCTCCGACTTGAAAAGTCAAGAGCGGGAGTGGAACTCCCAACGAAGTGCTCAAGGAACGAGCACGAAGCGAGCAAAAGGCGAGGCTCCAAAAAGGGACCCAAAAGGGCCAACACATAACACGTGGGAGTGTCCGAGATGGACTCGAGTTGGAGTCCGAAGTGGAGTCCGAGATGGACCCGAGTTGGAGTCCGAAGTGGAGTCTGAGATGGACCCGAGTTGGAGTCCGAAGTGGAGTCCAAGATGGACCCGAGATGGAGTCCGAGATGGAGTCCGAGATGGAGTCCGAGGTGGACCCGAGATGGACCCGAAATGGAGTCCGAGATGGAGTCCGAGATGGACCCGAGATGGAGTCCGAGATGGAGTCCGAGATGGACCCGAGATGGACCCGAGATGGAGTCCGAGATGGAGTCCGAGATGGAGTCTGAAGTCGAGACCGAGACCGGGACCGAGACCGAGACCGAGATCGGGACCGAGACCGAGATCGAGGCCAAGGCCGAGACCGAGCCCGAGCCCGAGCCCGAGCCCGAGTCCGAGTCCGAGTCCGAGTCCGAGTCCGAGTCCGAGTCCGAGTCCGAGTCCGAGTCTGGAGCCTGAGAGGGTGAAAGCCCAAAGCGTTCGTCTCCCAGACCCTGGGGGGTTTGGTGAGCTCCAAAAGTATAGTGGGGGGAGGACTGCAGTGGAGCCAGTTTGGCCAGGAAAGGCCAGTTTGGCCCAGGAAAGGCCAGTTTGGCCCAGGAAGGCCGGACCCAGTGTTGGGTGATGAGCTGCCCACTGGGAAGTCCAAGACTAGAGTGAACACAGACCTGGTGAAGTGTTCAAGAGCCGGCTCTAGTTCCCCCGGGAGATCGACTGGCCGATGCTCCCAGTCCAAGTGTGGGTGGCACTACCTACTTGGATACCTGGTGTGGCTCAACGGAACCTGCTCTAAGCCCATGGCTAGAGCACCCAAGGGCAGAAGGCGAGGAGAGTACCCAGGTGGCTCGCGTAAGGCCACGGTGTTCCGAAATGTTGTCCCAAAGGCCCAGACTGTGGAAAGGAAGAGGAGCAGTCCTTTGGGGTAGTGACCAAGGACACAGTCGTGTGGTGAGGAAGTCCCAGAGGACCGTGGGACTTAGTGGTCGGGCCTATGGGTCTCGATCCAGTGGCAGTGTTGGCAAACACGGCCAAGGGCAGAAAGGGACTTAGTGGGGACTGACAGAGGGATATTGGGGAAGGCTATTCCCCTTGTCGGTGGGCATCCTAAGGATGCTAAGGAGTGGATCTGAGATGACCACTCACGGATGGTTTGCCTAGTCTTGGAGAGCCAAGACGGTGATGCAAGTGGTATTGGACTACCAGTGTGGCAAAGGTGATTGGGCATGGCCTTAGCGTAACGGGCTGCTATGTCGGTGGTACCTTTGAGTGTCGGTCATGGGATCGGACACGTGGAGCACTTGGACCAAGTGCAAATGTTGAGTGGCATGGATGGCATTCTCGGGGCTAGCAAGTCCCAAGTCCTGGATTGGACTTATGGAGGTTGTGAATAAGACTCCTTCAAGTGGTCAGAGGTGTGGTTAAGTGACTAAAGTAGAATGGAAAATTTAGTCGCTTACAACTTGGTATCGGAGCTGTTCCTTAGTCCGACTTTTATTGGTGCTCAAGTATATCACCACTAGTGTTGGCATCGGAAGGTCCGAGGAGTGGGCCTATCCTTGAGGAGTAGCAAGTCGGGAAGACATGGCTCTCCATTACAGTTCATGTGTGAACTTGTAGACGAGGTGGTGGATAGAAAAGGGCCAATAATGGAACGACTTTGGGATCTTGGGAACAGTATATGGTTTTCCTCAAAGAGTTGAGGATGTGATCCAGATGAGCGTTTGACTTAGCAAACTGGCTAATGTAGTTGTGGTAAACAACTACAGTTGGGATCACGGGAAAGATAAAGACTCCAAAGCAATAAAGGAGTCACAAGATTTTCCTCATATAGTTGAGGTTGGTGCTCATGAATGTGAGACCAGAAGTAATGACCGTGGGAGGTCAAATACGGAAGAGGACTCAAGTCCTTGAAAAGGTAGCCGGGGCTACCTCTAATAAATGCTGGAACAACCCCAGGAGTTGGGGGTGTATTAAGTGGATGAGTTGGTGTTCTCATCACATGGACAAGTAGTCCTAAGGGGCAAAGGTTGCCCCCAGAGAACAAAATCAAGTGTCGGAGTAACACTTGTGAAAATAGTCCTTTTGAGTAGGACAGGAATGCAAGAAGTGTATTCCAGTGAGCTAGTGCCTCACAAGTAGGACCTTACGGGTCTGTGGATTAACTAAGTCCAAAACTGCTGGATGACTCAAGCAAAGTCAACGGATGGTCCTAAAAGGACTGATGGAAGCATTTGGACTGAGGTGTGTTGTACCCCACAAAGGATGGGGGGGGGATCATAGGATCCAAGGATGAGAACAAAGGGTATCTCATCGATGGCAAAATGTGCCATGCTAAAGTTATGGGAAAGGTGTTCCCAGAAGAAAACAACTTTGACATAAAGTTGTGTGTGACCTCTATGGTGCAGTGCTAACGGATGGTTGGCATGAGAAAGAGCGGTGTTGGTCTTGGCAAAGACTTAGACACGAAGGGGAAATGTCATAGAGGTAGGCTCGTGGAGCCGATGGTGTGGAGACACCAAATGTGCCAAGGTGTGATACCTTGAGGCTATGTTGGTGGGTTCATGAGAACCCCTTGCCAAAGGAATCCCAATGGAAATGGGAATAGCATAGCCTAAGCTGCAGAGCATGCAGTTAGAGTGTGGTGACCCAGATAATGATGGAGGTGTGAAAGCACCAAGCAATGAGTTGTAGGACTTAACAACTATGAGG